GTGTCTTACAACGGTGTGCGTGCCATACAATGGTGGGTGTGTCAGACAAACGGTGGGCGTGTCTTACAACGGTGAGCATGTCTTACAACTGTGGGCGTGTCTTACAACAGTGGGCGTGTCTTACAACGGTGGGCGTGTCTTACAACGGTGGGCGTATCTTACAACGGTGGGCGTGTCTTACAAACGGCGGGCGTGTCTTACAACGGTGGGCGTGTCTTACAACTTGTGCGTCTTACAACGGTGGGCGTGTCTTACAAACGGTGGGCGTGTCATACAACGGTGGGCGTGTCTTACAACGGTGGGCGTCTTACAACGGTGGGCGTGTCTCACAATGGTGGGCGTCTCTTACAACGGTGGGCGTGTCTGACAACGGTGAGCGTGTCATACAAACGGTGGGCGTGCCTTACAACTGTGAGCGTGTCTTACAGCGGTGGGCGTGTCTTACAACGGTGGGCGTGTCATACAAACGGCTTCGTTGCTCTCTCTCGCTCGGGGCGTCGGCTTAGCTGCCCGTCCGCTGACAGCAGCAGGCTCCTTCCACTGCTGGAGGAGCTGCGCCGCACGCGCTCCCTCCTGCCCCGTGCTCTTTGCCGATAACCCGACTGCGCGTGCAGTTCGTTCGCCGGCGGCAGACGCCCTTGCTCGTTATTCTGTTGCTCGGCTGTGGCTGCTGGTGGGAGCCGGCACTCAGGATGGAATGACTTTGAGCGACGCTTCTCCTGTCGGCTCTAAACTCGCGTTCGGCGGCACGTCGCTACTCGGCGAGTCTCTCCATCCCCGGTTGATTGCAGAGTCTCACCCCGGAGCTTGCCGCTCGCCCGCACCCTCTTCTGAGAGAGCTGTCTCCTGCCGAGCTGTCCCTTGTCGAGCTCCCCATGTCGAGCTGAACTGTGTGTGTCATAGGAATAGGGTTCACCCTTTTTTTAACTGGCACAAAAAACTGGCACCTCTATTCAAGGCATCATGTTTGCAATAACCACAACACAAGCAGTCAAAATGTAAACAAAGAGTTTTATACTCTGATAGTGCGCTGTTCTTGAGCTGCCACGCCCCCTGGCGTCCCCCGGCCCAACACCAATGGAGACCAGGCTCCAAGAAAAGCCAGGGGGCGTGGCGTCTCAAGAACAGCGCACTATCAGAGTATAATACTCTTTTGTTTGCATTTTGACTGCTTGTGTTGTGGTTATTGCAAACATGATGCCTTGAATAGAGGTGCCAGTTTTTGTGCCAGTTAAAAAAAGGGTGAAACCTATTCCTATATCTTGTTACTGGCAAAGGAGGTCTCATGATGTGTGTGTCGTGTTGCTGTTTTTAATCCAAAAAATCTCCCCTCTGCGCGTCTCTTGCGAGAGAAAAACAGATGCTTACTCCGTCATGCTCTAACCCCTCCCCTCTTCCCTTGGTGACCCCGGGCTGCTTTACATCAAATTGATGTTTGTTTGCCCTTCCAACCCCTCTCTTCGCGGTATCCGCCAAGGTAGGGGACGCACCGTTCATACGTTTTATGGCTACCATGTGTTTGTGTTAAATTGTTGGAAGACAAAGGCGGCCAGGGAGGCTCTGATTTAATGGAATACATTTATCTGGTCGTTGTGTTTGACATATTTCTTGTACCTCTAATGAATTAGCCTAGGTCTAATCTCTTGTGATTATTATTTGGTTTGTGTTTAACCAAGATTTGTAATGTACCATTAGATGTTCCCTCCGGTATTTCAAGGCTTTTATTAACTTTTGCTCCCTGTCTGCATCCAGGGATCCGTGTTTTTTTATTCTCGAGGTCAGAGATATCCCGAGGGCTGGAGATATAACCATGCCCTCACTTTCTTGACTGCCAGAATTCACATTCCTTGATTCTCTTGAAGTTACATAGATAGAAATATAAAATAAGAAACAATATGTGAGTTGAATAAGGGTGAAATAAAATAAGTAATTAAGTCACTAATATAGACTGCAGTCTATCATGTCGACTTATTCTTATAGCCAAGCTTGAACTTTTTCCGTACAAAAAAATATCAGTTATGTCCGTTTGCCCTGTGCTCTGTGTCCGTGCCTGTGATTCTGGATATTTGTTTGTGATCGGTCAACAGTGCCAAGCAGGTCATGGTATGTGGTCCTTTGGCAATCTGGAGATTTTGCAGATCGTCGTCGTTAACCTCCCTTTGCCCCGGAGTTTATTATTTAATGGCCTTTTACGACCTCCAGATGCTTGGTGCTTGTGGGAGGTAGCGGGTTTGAGGGTGTTTATTTATTTATTTGATTATTAATAAAAAATGGCAGAATTATTCTTACTCTTTGGTTCTATTCGGTAAAGTCACGTAGGTAAAAAATAAAACAAAAATCACGTTTCGGCCACAACACAAGTGGCCTTCATCAGGTGAAGGGACCAGACTGTCTCGAGGACAGCGCTGGAGTGAACACAGCCAAGCTCAGACCGCGACCTTTAAGCTGTGTGAGAGGAATTAAGGTGCCTTGACAAAGGAATTAGCATAAAAATTAGCATTTAATTGAACGGTGTAGAGGGGGTGAACATGTGCAGGCCGGCGAGGTGGGGAGGGGGAGTTTACATATTGATGGTGTGAAAAGGGAATTTTATGAAGCTGCGAAAGTTTGGGGTACCACTACTTGAAAAAATATACTGTACCATTGAAAATTAGTTTAATGTTTGGTTTGATTTAGAACATCTTTCCAATGATTGCTTAATTTGAAACCATCCTCTCGGTTGAAATTGTGTCTGTGCTTGTAAACCTGAATTGCCTCGTGGACAAATCACATAAAAACCCGTGGGTTTGCAGAGAACCTTGGTATCAGAGAAAATTATATCGTGATCACCCACAACGTTGTAACAGTGATCAGCTACGGCAGAAGAATTCGTTCTGCCGTGTTTCAAATCTGATTTGTGCTCGCGAATTCGGTCAGAGACATGTCGCTTTGTCTCCCCGATATAGCAATCACCGCAGGTACAACTCAATTTGTAAACCCCGAGGTACTGTAAGTCAGGAATGACATCCTTCACGGATCGGATCAGATCACGAATTTTGTGCACTGTATTGAACCGGACCTGGATCTTGTGTTTTAGAATTTGGGAAATCTTTTTAGCAACGCCTGCTATATATGGTAGTGTGATGGTTTTGACCGGAGCATCAAGTGGTTGTTTCTGTATGGAGGGAGAAACAGCTTGGCGGATAGTACGGTCAGAGTATCCATTCCTTTTGAGGGCCAAGATGTACATGTTTTAATTCACTGGTCAGGTGGTGTTGGTGCGAAATGCAAGAATTATTCTGAATATAAATTTTGGAAAAAGGCCTACACATATACAACACCTTGGGTGAATTTCGCTGTCCAAGGGAGGTTCGTGACCCCTGCTGTTTTCGTCTTTTGTTTTGTTGTGGGGTTTTTCCTTTACGGCGGCCTTCTCTTGAAGTCAACTGGGGATTTCCCGCAGAATCCCATTAGCCCCCCCTCCCCCCTTGGGTTTGCCATTTTTTAAAATTACATTTTATAACTTCCCCAGCAGACTTGTGAGTAATTATCCTCCAGCAGTCTTTTGTGTGGCAAGGCAGGAGGCAGCGGAGAGGGGTGACTCACCCTTTCCATGCCCCAGCGCTACATCCCGATCAAAATGATTACAAAACAATAGAAAGAATCAATCAATACAATTTTGTGGAAAAGGCATATTTACAACATGCTCTTCGAGTGTTTGTGATGAGATGATACAAAACAACTGAGTTGCTGAGGCGATTAAGCAAGCACCATATAAATGCTAAAATTATTATAACGTAGTGAATGCTTCGGAGATTATTGGCTCTGGCTCCTGGCAAGAGATCTAACCAACCCACAGGTCCGCAAATACTGGTTGCTCTTACTCTGCAGGTTGAACCTAGGAATGGAGTGTTCGACTTCACGTTATTGTAATTAAAAGCCTGTAACAAAGGGGAATCTATTGGAGCTTCATTGTCTCAAGCTTACACATCTACAGGGTCTCCATTTGACTTTGTATTGTCTAAGAAGTCCACCCACACCTCCACTTCCACAAACTGCTGGGAGTTGCCTCGCTCTGCCTCACAGTCAGAATTCTCCTCCTGCTTAACGTTGCATCCATCGATGTAAAGACGCAATTTTGGAGTTGAATCTTCATCTTCACATTTCACCTTCACTTGTTCGCTCTTCACCATCACTTCTTCACATTTCACCATCACTTCTTCGCTCTTCACCATCACTACTTCACATTTCACCTTCGCCGCTTCAAAATCCACCTTGATACATTTCATTCCGTCCAAGCTGGAAGTAAATTCTGGTTCTTTTTTCAGCAGGGATGGGCTCATTGCAGCACTTTGACTTTCACAAGCCGATTTCAGATTCCGCTCCTTGGGGATCTTCTGATACCTGTGTGTCCTCTGGTGTCTATGAAGCTGTGGTGACCGCGCAAACGCCTTCCCGCACAGAGTGCACTTAAAGGGTTTCTCTCCTGTGTGTGTTCTCTGGTGTTTTTTAAGATGTGATAACTCTGCAAATGCCTTCTCACACACAGTGCACTTGAAGGGTTTATCTCCTGTGTGCGTTCTCTGGTGGTCGTGAAGATGTGATGACTGTGCAAATGCGCTTCTACACACAGTGCACTTGAAGGGTTTCTCTCCTGTGTGTGTTCTCTGGTGTTTTTTAAGATGTGATGACCGTGTAAACGCCTTCCCACACACAGTGCACTTGAAGGGTTTCTCTCCCGTGTGTGTTCTCTGGTGTCTCTGAAGAACTGCTGACTTTGCAAATGCCTTCTCACACACAGTGCACTTGAAGGGTTTCTCTCCTGTGTGCCTTCTCTGGTGGATCTTAAGACCTGATGAACATGTAAACGCCTTCTCACACACAGCGCACTTGAAGGGTTTCTCTCCTGTGTGCCTTCTCTGGTGGATCTTAAGACTTGATGACTGTGCAAATGCCTTCTCACACACAGTGCACTTGAAGGGTTTCTCTCCTGTGTGCATTCTCTGGTGGTCGTGAAGATGTGATAACCGTGCAAATGCCTTCTCACACACAGTGCACTTGAAACATTTTTCTCCTGTGTGCGTTCTCTGGTGGTCGTGAAGATGTGATGACTGTGCAAATACGCTTCTACACACAGTGCACTTGAAGGGTTTCTCTCCTGTGTGCGTTCTCTGGTGTTTTTTAAGATGTGATGACCGTTTAAACACCTTCCCACACACAGTGCACTTGAAGGGTTTCTCTCCCGTGTGTGTTCTCTTGTGTCTCTGAAGAACTGCTGACTGTGCAAATGCCTTCTCACAAACAATGCACTTGAAGGGTTTCTCTCCCGTGTGTGTTCTCTGGTGGTCGTGAAGAAGCGATGGCTTGACAAATGCCTTTTCACAGACAGTGCACTTGAAAGGTTTAGCTCCTGTGTGTGTTCTGTGGTGGCTCCTAAGAACTGATGACTGTGCAAATGCCTTCTCACACACAGTGCACTTGAAGGGTTTCTCTCCTGTGTGCGTTCGCTGGTGGCTCTGAAGAACTGATGACTGTGCAAATGCCTTCTCACAGACACTGCACTTGAAGGGTTTCTCTGTGTGCGTTCTCTGGTGTTTTTTAAGATATGATGACCGTGTAAACACCTTCCCGCACACAGTGCACTTTAAGGGTTTCTCTCCTGTGTGTGTTGTCTGGTGTATTTGAAGATCAGATGAACTTGAAAATGCCTTCCCACACACACTGCACTTGAAGAGGTTCTCTCCTGTGTGCGTTCTCTGGTGTTTTTTAAGAACTGCTGACTTTGAAAATGCCTTCTCACAAACAATGCAGTTGAAGGGTTTCTCTCCCGTGTGTGTTCTCTGGTGGTCGTGAAGATGCGATGGCCGTGCAAATGCGCTCCCACACACAGTGCACTTGAAAGGTTTAGCTCCTGTGTGTGTTCTCTGGTGACTCCTAAGAACTGATGACCATGCAAATGCCTTCTCACACACAGTGCACTTGAAGGGTTTCTCTCCTGTGTGTGTTCTCTGGTGGTTTTTAAGATGTGATGACTCTGCAAATGCCTTCTCACACACACTGCACTTGAAGGATTTCTCTCCTGTGTGTATTCTCTGGTGTCTTTTAAGATGTGATGACTCTGCAAATGCCTTCTCACACACACTGCACTTGAAGGGTTTCTCTCCTGTGTGTGATCTCTGGTGGTTTTTAAGATGTGATGACTCTGCAAATGCCTTCTCACACACACTGCACTTGAAGGATTTCTCTCCTGTGTGTATTCTCTGGTGTCTTTTAAGATGTGATGACTCTGCAAATGCCTTCTCACACACACTGCACTTGAAGGGTTTCTCTCCTGTGTGTGTTCTCTTGTGCTGAGTCAAACTTCCAGTATGATCCGTGCTGTATGCACACTGGTCGCATTGTTTATTTTTTGTACCGAGCTGCGCCGAGTGCCGTTGCTCCATCAGACCAATTCTGCAGAGGAAGCGTCAGAGGAAGAGTCAGCTGCAGTCATAAAAATGTATCCACACCATCTACGTCAGTATCAAGACACAGAGGAATGCATATATACACAGTCACACATGACTTACACATCTATACTTATTCATATATTCATGATATAGTGAAAATTATTCCCCAATTCATCACGCGGGCTGTTAAGGCACACAATGAGAGGGCCAATGGTCATAAATATTCCTGGATGCCCTAGTATCTTCAAAATGAATGTTTACCCAAAACTCCAAGCACACAATTTCGGCTGTCTAGCTATGAAAGGAATATTTAAGAAAAATTCAGCTATAATAGCAAAGTGTCTTGAAAATAATAGTATTTGTATTATGCAGAAATGCATAAATTAATGTTCAATCGAAACTTCGAGGTGGAAGCCAGGCTCAGATTCGCTTGAATGCTCGGATGAACAGATCTAACTTCAGCTGCATATGTGCTAAGATGTTTTCCTGTTTCCATCCTTACAAAAAGTCCCAGAGGAAAATTAAAATAAACTATTGTTTTGATTTAACCTCCATGTTCAGTCGTTAATATACATTACTGCAAATACAAACTTGACATCGTCACACACTGGCATGGTAAAAAGGTGGTGGTGTGTCCAGAACCATGCCTGGCCACCTTCATCTGCTCATTATTAATGCGTTCTCACTTCATGTAATTAATTTAAGATCAATCAACATAGCAGAGGCCCACAATAAGTTGAGCTTTCACTTACACTATGTAACACGATTTTTTTTGCCCCTGGAAGGCTAGTGTTATTTTTTTTATTGGTCATGCCCACAAACTTTCGTTTTGTAACCAGGACTTGACGTGAAGGAATGACACAAATGCGCACGTTTTCTCATTGAAAATAGGTTCATTTCAAAAGATCACTGTCCTGGTCACAAAAGCAAAGTTTGTGGGGAATAATAGCCATTTTCTGTACTTTTGAGGCATAAGCAATTAGAAAATAACACTTACTACGCAGGGACAATTTTTTTTGTTACACAGTGTTATCAATCATGTTTGCTGTCGGCGATAATCAAACTAATTGTTGAGTTCATAATGCCGTGAAATAACTGCGAGATAAACTCTTAAATACACGTACATTTCACATGGATCATTAACATATCATATAAACAAAACATCCAACATTTATGACGAATTGCAAGTAACCTTTTCCCAGTGCTAATGCCATGATAGGTGCAATTTAAGGCCATGTAAGTGTGGATTCAGTGTCAGCAGGTAATGGGAATGATCCAGGTGTCAAGGGATGACTGACAGAAGAACCAGCTGTGCTCCCCACTGTCTTGCTGGGTTTTAGTAACCCAGCGTTCCACCTTATTCATGTGGGCGTTGCTCTTCCGACCTCATCGTTATTGCAGAGCAACTATCTCTTACCTGCCATGAAGCATACCTCACTCGGCCTCCTCCACAGAGGCCGATCTCCGCTCCTGGCACCAGTCATCGGCAGGTCCGATCACCTCCACATCCTCCAATCTCTTCCCTAGCCAATGCCATGCCTGATCAGCCCCTAATATCTGGACAAAAAGCTGCTTGAGCAAGCAGTGTCTGGGAATGCGGGATTCATGACCAAACCAATGCAGCATCGCCTGCCAAAGAAACCCAAAGATTATATTCTATATTGATATCTTAAGGGTCTGTAAGCTTTTAATAGAATATAAACTGGTTGAATAGAGGATTAATCATAGGCAGGCCAGCCTTCACTGTATAAGCCAGATAGTCATTTAAATGAGTTCATATTTTGAATTTTGATTTAAAGCTTTTGTGACTGCAGTAATTCATATTCTTAGTTCTTTCGGTAAAGTCACGTTGAAGGGAAACAACAAAATAATAAAATATATATTTAAAACAATAAAAATTATCATGACGTTTCGACCATAACACAAACGGTTGTCTTCAGGTGTGTTGGTTTGCATAAATTTATTTTTAAACGGTGTATTTATTTATTTATTTATTTTAAAAAAACGTTAGCGACACACGCAGCGATTTGGCAGTTTATTTAGGACTAGTCCATCTATATTCTGAAAAGAGGAGGGGGAGACGAATTTTTTAAAATAAATAAATACACCGTTTAAAAATAAATTTATGCAAACCAACACACCTGAAGACGACCGTTTGTGTTATGGTCGAAACGTCGTGAGAATTTTTATTGTTTTATATATATTTTATTATTTTGTTGTTTCCCTTCAACGTGACTTTACCGAAAGAACTAAGAATATTCATATTTTGAATTCACAGAGTAATATCTGTGGCCAAGAAGAATCACAGCTTTGTCCGTTAGTTTCTGAAAACGCTTGTCCTGGTGAGGGTCACGGTGGCAGCACGCTGAGAAGGGCGGTCCGGGCCTCCCTTTCCCTGGCGACAGACTCCAGCTCATCCTGGGGAATTCCCAAGCGTTCCCAGGCCAGCCGAGCGACATAGTCCCGCCAGCATGTCCTGGGGCCAGCCCTGGGGTCATCGCCCAGTGGGAGGTGTCTGGTAGAGTTCCAGGGGGAGTCTATTGGGGGGCATCCTTACATATATTCTATATTGATATCACCCCTAGAGCCAGGGCCCAGGGGTTGTGTTCACCAACAAGCGCCTCGTGGCCACGTGACCCACGTAGCTCAGTCAGGCCAACTCGAATTGGCTAAGTCAGGGGTCGGGAACCTATGGCTCGCGAGCCAGATGTGGCTCTTTTGATGATTGCATATGGCTCGCAGATAAAACAAAATATTCTCACTTGTTTTAATCCATCCATCGATTTTTCACTGCGCATGTCCTGTTCAGGGCTGCAGGAGCAATTGTCCATTATTTTAATTGGATGATACTGGCCTACGTTTGCCGTTGCTGGGTAAAACAGGTAAACGCCCCCTTTTGAATCAGTCTGAGACTGCGTCTGCTCGGTCATTAGCTCAAAGCTAACCCTTCGACGAAGAAGATGGCGAAAAGAAAAAAAGACGACGAGTATCGTACATTTCAGGACGAATGGACCGAAGAATTCGCCTTTGTGGAGAGAGCGGGTTCTGCGGTGTGTCTAATTTGCAATGACAAAATTACATCGTTGAAACGGTCGAATGTAAAGCGGCACTTCGACACGCGCCACGCTACCTTTGCATCAAAATACCCTGCGGGAGACAGCAGAAAGAAAGCGTGCCAAGAGCTTCTGAGCAGGGTGCAAGCTAGCCAGCAGCAACTCCGCGTATGGACCCGGCAAGGTGACTATAATTCGGCTAGCTTTGCTGGTTCTTTAGCAATAGTGAGGAACGGAAAACCATTCACAGATGGCGAGTATGCTAAAACGTTCATGCTGGATGTAGCCAATGAACTTTTTGATGATCTTCCGAACAAAGACAAGATAATCAAACGGATACAAGACATGCCTCTGTCGGCAAGAACTGTTCATGATCGTACCATCGTGATGGCCAACAAAGTGGAGGAAACGCAAGTGAAGGACATAAATGCAGCGCCGTTCTTTTCTCTGGCTTTGGATGAGTCAACAGACGTGAGCCATTTGTCGCAGTTCAGCGTGATTGCAAGATATGCTGTTGGTGACACACTGCGCGAAGAAAGTCTTGCTGTTCTGCCATTAAAAGGGTCCACAAGAGGTGAGGATTTATTCAAGTCTTTCATGGAGTTTGCTCAAGAAAAAAGTCTACCTATGGATAAACTTCTCTCAGTGTGTACTGATGGTGCTCCGTGTATGGTGGGGAAAAACAAAGGATTTGTGGCGCTTCTCCGTGAACATGAAAATAGACCCATCCTAAGTTTCCATTGCATTATACACCAGGAGGCACTTTGTGCTCAGATGTGTGACAGGCAGTTTGGCGAAGTGATGTCGCTGGTCATTCGTGTGATTCAACAAGCTGTATTTGCTTTTGAAAACAAGCTGGAGCTTTTCATCACGGATCTTGAAACAGGTCGTTTACTACATTTTGAAAAACTGAGCCAATTTAAAGATGCATGCACAGCAAGTGAGCCCATTCAAAACCTTGATCTCCACCAGCTAGCTGGCTGCACATCCAGTCTCCTACAGTCCTTCAAAGCACGCTTTGGAGAATTTCGTGAGCACACTCGTCTTTTTAAGTTCATCACCCATCCAAACGAGTGTTCACTGAACACAGCCGACCTGAATTACATCCCTGGTGTCTCCGTCAGAGATTTTGAAGCAGAAGTGGCTGACCTGAAGGCCTCAGACATGTGGGTGAATAAGTTCAAGTCACTGAATGAAGATTTGGAAAGAATCACACGACAGAAAGCGGAGTTGGCGAGCAAGCACATGTGGACAGAAATGAAAAAACTCCAACCCGAAGACCAGCTGATTCTCAAAACTTGGAACGCGCTTCCTGTCACATACCACACACTGCAGCGTGTGAGTATTGCTGTATTGACCATGTTTGGATCTACGTATGCATGTGAGCAGTCATTCTCACATCTTAAAAACATCAAGTCCAACCTACGATCACGTTTAACGGATGAAAGCCTCAACGCTTGCATGAAGCTTAACCTCACCAAGTACCAACCCGACTACAAAGACATCAGCAAATCCATGCAGCACCAGAAGTCGCATTAATGGTGAGTGTTATAACAACATTATTTAAAAGAATAAATTCAGAGGCTTATTATACTGACATTTAGTTGAATTCACTTTTAAAATATATTATATGGCTCTCACTGAAATAAATTTCCAAATTTTTTGCTTTCATGGCTCTCTTAGTCAAAAAGGTTCCCGACCCCTGGGCTAAGTGGTGCCATCCTGTGCGTCGAACATCCGCAGGATGAAGGGTGAGGGGCGGGTGCAAAGCCAGTATGGGAGGGAGAGGGATGGTCTCAGACGGACTTGACATTAGCGATGGACACACAAAGCTTAGTACGGAGTAAAAGTCCAGGCA